CAGGAGCGGTTGCTCCTGACACAACAAAAAAAAAATAAATAAATAAATAAATAAATGGTGGAGTTCAGAATGCTCTTTGATTGTAGGTGAACTATAAATCCCAGCAACTACAACTCCCTAATGACAAAATCAAAATTTTTGAGTGATGATCACTCCTTGGGTTAGTAGGTGTCTTGTGGCCAAATTTGGTGGCAATTCATCCATTGGTTTTTGTTAATCCCACAAACGAACATTACATTTTTATTTATATAGATTATTCTAAAGCTGCTTGAATTGGTTTCTTCTGTTTGGGTTTTAGATCCCTGAAAATGTCGACCAGTATATAAAAAGTTATGCTCTATAATTACTATTTTTAAAGTGAAAATCTATAAGATTGTAAATTGTTGAACGGAGAGACCAGCTCCTCTAAAGTTTTAATCTTTCTCAGTTGATTGCTAAATAATTCTAAGAATTGTTGCTTAAGTTTGCTTTCTTATTTCAGTGTGTCACCTTCCATGACATAAGTTTTACACTCTGGATCTTCTGACATGGGCTGTTTTGCTTATTATTGAGCTTTTGTGACTGTTCTAGAAGCCTTTCTGTTGATACTCCTTTAAATTCATGTTTTGCAATCCTTGGATCCTCCAGATGTTTGGGACTATCAGCATTCTTGATCTTTGGCCATGCTAAATTGAACCTATGGGACTTGAAGTTTACAAACATCTGCAGGATCCAAGTTTTAGAAACATTGCTTTAAGTAAGGTTAAAATAATTTTAAAATAACAACCACACAAAAAAATTCATTAAAGGCATAAGACATATTTTTAATTAAACCAGGTTTGAAATTTAAAATCCATGTATTAAAAGGATTTGAAGACGAATTCTAAACAGCTGAAGAACTATTGGAATTCCAAGTATTTCTGTCACTAGAATTAGTGTAGATCAGTTTTACTCAAAGTGGTGTTTTCTCTGACATCCCATACTGATATTACCCAGTCAGATTTTGCTTTATTATCCAACTGCTTTTGTGATATCTTTCATTTTAATGCTACCCTTTCTTTTTAGACTATTACTTCTGCACCCTTTGGGCTCTTTTCTCAGGCCCTTCTCTCTCTCACCATTATATCCTTCCTTCTCTCTTTCCTTCCTCCTTCCCTACCTCCCTTCCTTCCTTCCCTACCTCCCTCTTTCTTCCTCCTTCCTTCCCTTCCACTCTTTCGTCCTTCCTTCCTTCCCCTTTTCCTCCCTCTTTCCATCTCTCCCTTTCGCCTTCCTTCCTTCCGCTTTGTCTTTCCTTCTTTCTCACTTCCCTCCCTCCCTTTTCTCCCTCCATTCTCTTCCACCCATCCTTCCTTCTCTTTTTCCTTCCTCATGGGGGATGTTTAGCTGAAGGAAGAGGGAACATGAGAACCATGTTTCAAAATTTAAAAGGGTGTCCCATTGAAAAGGAGAGGGGAAATTGACTTTCTGCTTCTCTAGAGACTAGGGCACAAGGGAGCAATGGGTTCAAATGGCAGGGAAAGAGATTTGACTGAAAAGATTAGGAAGAACTTCCTGAGAGTAAGAGCTGTTGGAGAATGGCTTAGGCTGCCTCAGAGTTTGGTAGTCTCCTTCTCTGGAGGCTTTTCCTCAGAGGCTGTCTATTAGGAATGCTTTGATTGTGCCTCTTTGCATGACAGGGGGTTGGATTGGATGACCCTTGGGGGTCTCTTCCAGCTATAGGATTCTAGTATTATATATCAGGAGAAGGCAATACGAGATCTAATGGATGCACTTTTTCTCTCCCATCCACCATCTCATCCTAATGAAGGCTAACCCTTTTGGGATTTAAATGTTTCCCATCTTTCCTTCACTTTGTGTCTCCAAAAGAAAAGAGGAAGGGGAGGAAAGGGCAAGGAGGAGACTTGGGGAGAACCTCCTCCTTCCCAGCCCATTCACCCCACTCGAGCCGACTATGCGGCCCCCTAAGTTAGAAGGTTTGCCCATGCCTGTTCTAGAGCAAACGCATTGTTTTATCACCTGACAGAAAAGCCCCACTCCCACCCTCTTTTGCTTGCTCATACTAAGGTCCCTTCCACACAGGTGTATAAAATCCACATTGAACTGGATTATATGGCAGTGTGGACTCATATAATCCAGTTCATCTGACACATAGTTAAGAATGGGGAGGAGAAGGTGAGACAATAGGAAGTGAGAGAAATCTACCCCTTGGAAGGGAAATTCACTCCTGAAAGAGTTATCATGAGGAAAAGGTGTCTCAAGTGAAGCTTTATCACCAATCCTTGTTTCCACAAGCCATTTTTTTCAAAACCCAAGAGACAGAAAATGGAGTGAAATCTTCTGAACAGAGGCACAGACAGCAAAAGAAACACCACAGAGGTGTTAACCCTTCCCTATGTGAGACAAAGCTTAGATTTAGATTGATAGATTGATAGATAGGGTTGGAATTACACTTTAAAATGTATCTTTTATGAGTTACATACAAATTCAGCTTAAGAACAAACCTACAGATTCCATCTTGTTTGTAACTTGGAGACTGCCTGTAATTGTGTAGGATAGAAAAAGCCCTTGATGGTGATAGTGATGTAAGACTCGGGTGGCTTACAACAAAAAAACATATTATATATAATAATACTCAACCAACCAACACAACAAAAATCATCAACCAACAAATCAGCAATATTTAATGTCTTTAGACAGTACACTTCAAGTTTAAAGTCTTCTCTTGATGGAAGAAATAGATATAAAATCCAGGTCAGCCAATAATGTGCAGCCATTGAACCTCTTCTGACTATAAGTGAAAGATAAGGAGTCCTGTACAAACAGGGACACATAGCAAATGAAGCAGACATTGAAATCAAGATTTTCTATACATAAATAAAAATGTACTTGTCTAACACAAAACAATGAGAGATGTCGCAACTTCATTGCATAATACGAGTCAAAGCACAACTTGAAGAAACCAGGGAAGGAGGAAGTTTCTTTCTGAGTCATAGAGGCTTTCTCCTTGCCAGCTTTTATAAAAAGCAGTAAAATCTTTGACCTCCCCCAAGCAAATGTTGCATCCATGTCCTCTTTGATGCTTCTAGTTCTCATGTATAATCCTATACAAATATGGTCTTTCTTGAGGACTATCACTTGTTAGAAAGTAAGGAAAATGGAGTACACCTGTGGGCAAACTGGTGACTAAATCAGTTTATTCCTGTGTAATTAAGATTTTTGAGGATATAAAAATACCAATACTATGAAAGGGAAGTTCATTGTGAGTTCTGGTGACACGAACTAATTGTCAAGGTCATGTGGATAATACTTGAGAATGAATATGAGTTAATAGCTCCTCACTCCAGACCAAAGATTATTTTAAAAAACAAAGTGTCATAAATATGAATGTGCTGTAATGTGATGTTGTAAATTTTTATAAATGTTTAATCATTTACTAGTAAAGGTGAGAACAGTGCTGACTGGCCTTGGGGTATTTTCTGATACCAAATGAGAATTCCAATGCATTGAAAATCAGAGTTGAGGTCAACTTTAGGATTAAGATTTGTGATGTAGTGATGGTTGTGTGCCTTCAACTCTTAACTGACTTATTGTAACTCTAAGGTGAACCTATCACAGGGTTTCCTTGGCAAGATTCCTTCACAGGCGTTTGCCTTTGCCTCCCCCAGAAATTAAGGGATCTTCCACACAGCCATTTAACCCAGAATATCAGGGCAGATAATCCACAATATCTGCTTTGAACTAGGTTATTTGAGTCCACACTGCCATATAATCCAGTTCAATGTGAATGTTATACAGCTGTGTAGAAGGGACTATTGGCACCTTCTACACAGCTGTACAAACCTCAGATTATCTTCTTAAGGCCCCTTCTATACTGCCATATAATCCAAATTATCAAAGCAGTTATTCCAGATTATCTGCTTTGAGCTGGATTATCTGAGTCTACACTGCCATATAATCCAGTTCAAAGTAGATAATCTGGATTTTCTACAGCTGTGTAGAAGGGGCCTAAGAGAGCAAGACTTTCCCAAGTTTACCCAATGGCTGAACAGGAATTTGAACCCTTGTTTTTGGAGTTCTAATCTAACTTTCAAATCACTACAATGTCCTGGCTGTGATGTGAATTCTAGGATCCCAAAGTGAAAATTCAATTTCATCTGGAGGGACAAAACTCTTCAGAGCCAGAGCACACAATTGTTGTTCATTCGTTCAGTTGTCTCCGACTCCTTGTGACCTCATGGACCAGCCCACGCCAGAGCTCCCTGTCGGCCGTTACCACCCCCAGCTCCCTCAAGGTCAGTCCAGTCACTTCAAGGATGCCATCCATCCATCTTGCCCTTGGTCGGCCCCTCTTCCTTTTGCCTTCCACTTTCCCCAGCATAATTGTCTTCTCTAGGCTTTCCTGTCTCCTCATGATGTGGCCAAAGTACTTCAACTTTGTCTCTAGTATCCTTCCCTCCAGTGAGCAGTCGGGCTTTATTTCCTGGAGGATGGACTGGTTGGATCTTCTCGCAGTCCAAGGCACTCTCAGCACTTTCCTCCAACACCACAGCTCAAAAGCATCGATCTTCCTTCGCTCAGCCTTCCCTAAGGTCCAGCTCTCACATCCGTAGGTTACTACAGGGAATACCATGGCCTTGACTAGGCGGATCTTTGTTGCAAGTCTGATGTCTCTACTCTTCACTATTTTATCGAGACACAATTTTATCGAGCACACAATGGTTCATCCAAAAACAATATGGATTTTTCTGTTATCATTGCAATACTGGAAATGTAGTGAGTATAATTTTTGGGATCTCTGTGTGTGCGCACACTCATGCGTGTGTTTGCTAAATTTGTGGAGATAGTTTACAGTTGCATAAATGACAATGTTACAGATTGTCTGCAATCCAGATCTAATTTTGTGTGAATTCTGCTGCAAAATATGATTATGAGATACTAAAATGTTATATCTTAATTCATGAGAGTTAGTACTCTTGCATCAAGGCATTAATAATTATTAATCATTTGTCTTTTTTTAGTGCCCAAACCAACGAATGTTATTGTAGAATCATATAATTTCAATACCTCTGTACATTGGGATTACAAAAGCATAACACCAGCACCTCTTTTTATTGTGGAGCTCCAATGCTACAAGTAAGTATCTTGAATTTGAACTATAATGTTATGTAGACCTTTTCCTAAAAGTCTGGTGTTTAAGTTTCGAATTTTACTTTATACTGAAAGATGTGACAAATGCAGACATCCGCTGCAGTTTGGTAATATTTGCTATTCAGAATCTAAATTTTGGATTTTTTTTTTACAGTTCAAATACTGGTTTTAGGGAAGTCAGTGGTTGTGTGAATATATCACAACACTATTGTGATCTCATCCACGAAGCTGAAAAGTGTCATGATTTCTGGGTTAGAGTTAAAGCTGTTGATGGACTGCAGGAATCTAAATATGAAGAGACTGAAGTATTTTATGTAAACAGCCATGGTAAGTTGCCACTAGTATGCCTTTCGATCTTGATTGTGTGCACCTTGTAGTCACAAAGTATTATATATTTTGTCTGTATAGTGTTTGTAATTTGTACTATATGTGGCAATTATTGCTTAGAGATTAAAATTATCTTGAAACATTACCTTAATACAGGCAGTCCCCAAGTTACAAAATCTGACTCATAGTTAAGAACAGGGATGAAACAACAGGAAGTGAGAGAAGTCCACCCCTAGGAAGAGAAATTCACTCCTCAAAGAGTTGTCATGGGGAAAAGGTGTCTCCACTGAACCTTTATCACCATTCCTTCTTTTTCAAAATCCAATTACCACATGGATAGAAAGTGAGATGAAATCTTCTGAACAGGGATACAGATAGCAAAGCAAGATGTGTGTGTGTGTGTGCACGCGCGTGTGTGCGTACACACACATATACACATATACATAACTAGAGTTACTCTTAAAAATGTACCTGTTCTGACTTGCATACAAATTTAACTGAAGAGCAAACTTACAGAGCCTATCTTGTTTGTAATTTGGGGACTGCCTGTATTCCTATTCTACTTTGTGAAGATTACTTTAAAGCTTACATGGCGAACGTTTTTATAAGCTATCTGAATTTATAATTATTTCAATGTTTTCAAAAACACCTTGCATCTTTGCAGAACAACAGTCCTATGAAATATTTCTGGTTTTCTTACAGTTTCTCATAATGAGGAACACTCCATTGGAAATGGAAGTGTTTTCAGTTTGGGATTTTTCATATCAAGCTCAGTATGTTTCCTGTTTCAGCATGACTTAATCCACAATGCAACAGACAAATGAATGAAGCAGTGGAATCTTGAGGGGTTCAAGTCAATGATTGCACTTCATTGTATTGTRGAAGACTTCCATGGCTGGAATCACTGGGTGGTTGTAGGTTTTTCGGGCTATATGGCCATGTTCTAGAAGCATTCTCTCCTGACATTTCACCTGCATCTGTGGCAGTTATCCTCAGAGATTGTGAGGTCTCTTGGAACTAGGAAATTTGGGTTTAATTGGGACATTCCACAGATGTATAAACCCAAATTTCCTAGTTTCAACAGACCTCACAATCTCTGAGGATGGCTGCCATAGATGCAGGTGAAATGTCAGGAGTGAATGCTTCTAGAACATGGCCATATAGCCCAAAAAACCTACAACAACCTATTGCACTTCATATCTTAAGGCAGTGATTTTCAACCTATGGGTCCTCAGGTGTTTTGGCCTACAACTCCCAGAAATCACAGCCAGTTTACCAGCTGTTAGGATTTCTGGGAGTTGAAGGCCAAAACATCTGGGGACCCACAGGTTGAGAACCAGTGACTTAAAATATGAAGTGCAATCATTGACTTCAACCCCAGTAAAAAGTAAGTAAGTAAGATTCCACTGCTTCATTTATTTGCTGGTTCCATCATGGATCAAGTCTGTATTGAAACAGGAAATACACTTAAACAAAATTTAAGTGAACACTTTTGAATTTTCCCTTCCGTAAAAATATCTCTCTACGGAAATGAGAGAAAACAACACCATCCACTAGCATTTTTGAGAGAAATAAAGTAGTCTGCATTAGAAAGCCTCCAGTACATAATTCTTCCAACTCCTTCTGCTGCCTAGCTACACAAGTCCACCAAGTCAAATGGGGACAAACTTTGGTGTCTCCTTAAGATCCTTTGGCAGCCTGACATGGGACTTTCTGCGCTTTTAAAAATAGCTTTCGTGTTTCAGAGGTTTCTTTTTCTAAAGCTGTACTCTTTGGTTCTTGAAGGGTTAAACCATAAAAGTGGTGTCTTGGCTACATTTCTCACAGAACTGGTTCTGTAGAAGACAGATTTATTCATATTACAATTCTTTATTTATTTATACCATGCTTTCCCCCCCTCTGTATTGAGACCCAAAGCAGCTCACCCTTAAACAGCAATTCAATTAGAAACTTGAAAGAGATAAATATCAACATCTATTAAAACTTATACATGTATTAAAGCAAATTAATTAAAAATAATTTAAATATATAAAAAGCCTTCTGAAACAATTTACTGAACCAATGTGTGACACTCATTTTCAAAATTTCTTGTTTTAAAAGTCTACTTGAATCACACAATCATAAAGTTGGAAGAGACCTCATGGGCCATCCAATTCCAACCCCCTGCCAAGAAGCAGGAAAATCACAATCAAAATGTTGCATCCTGACACTAAGAGAGCAGCAGGGAGGGAGCCATTCTGGCCTTCCTAGGATGAGAGAACCACAAAAAAGCCTTCTCTCACATCCCCACCAATTGCTCTTGTTATGTCATTGGACCTGAAATAAGGGCCTCTTCCAATAATCTAAGAGACCAGGCCATGTGTCCTCCTGAGATTGAGAAAGTGTGATGTGCCCATATTGGAGCTGAGGATTTGAACCTTGGTCTTTCAGAGCCCAAAGTAAAGGTAAAGGTTGACATGAAGTCTAGTCATTTCCAACTCTGGGGGGTGGAGCTCATCTCCATTTCTAAGCCAAAGAGCCGGCGTTGTCTATTGATGCCTCCTAGATCATGTGGCCGGCATGACTGCATGGACCACCGTTACTTTCCCGCAGAAGCGGTACCTTTTGATCTACTCACATTTGCATGTTTTCAAACTGCTAGGTTGGCAGAAGCTGGGCCCAACAGCAGGAACTCACCCCGCTTCCCGGATTCGAACCTCCAACCTTTCAGTCAGCAGCTCAGTGGTTTAACCCGCTGCACCACCAGGGGGCTCTAGTCCAACACTAAAATCGCTGTATCATGCTACTTCGGTATTACACTGTGAACATTCAATATTAATAAGCGTTCAACTGTTTCAGGTCGAATAGGACCGCCGGAGATCAAACTCCGCGTTGTGGATCATGGAATCGAAGTTGTTCTGATACACCCTCTCACTCCATATTACAAGAAGGGTCCACTTAGTGTACGAGCAAAACTTGAGGACTTCAGCTACAGAGTGTCTCTTTGGAGAAATGGAAGTCGAGAAGTGGTATGTTTAATTTAAGGCCATCATTTCTATCAGCTTAACACAATGCCAGGAAGAGCCTGAGAAAAGGTGTTCATCTATTTGTGATTTAAACATGAGGGCTCTGTGAGTCAGAAGGATGCAGTTTTCATAGATAAAGAATAATGAGTACAATGCACCCCCATATATCCCCAAAATATGCGTGGAAACATAAAACCACACATTATAGTTTGCTCTTTTTCAATGGGGTAAACAAAGAGGGCACTGAGAAGAGGTAGTAGCTTGTACAGAAGGCCCAAAATGATGAAGTGAAACTGTGGATGAAATTAAACCTTGTGTATGGGATCCTCAGAGACACAAGCAGCATTTGTATGGAAATTACAAGAAAAACAATGAAGGGCAGCCATATGTATCACTTGAAGGAGCAGAGGTTTAAAGTGAATGTGCTGATGGAAAGACAGTTGAGAGTAACTTTTCAGCTAGATTATTACACATTTTTTTGTGGATCAGCAAGGGGGAGAACTGCACTAGAAAGATAAAATTGAGGCTGTAGCTACTGCATTATACAGCACTACCTAGCTGACAGGAACATCTTAACAAAACTCTGTGATATCAAATTTAAAGGTATTGCAGTGGCTGCTACTTGCTTACTTACTTACTTACTTACTTAGGCGATCCCTCGTTGGACGAGTAAGATGGTCTTCCATTATGGATTTCCTTGTGGGTCCGTATGTGGCTGTGGAGCCCTATTCTTGCTCTGCATCTTCTTCCGCAGTGGGGGCATTGGTTTC